ACCCTCCCCCAAACTCTTGCATTAGAGCAAATAAGTCCGAGAAGCATGTGACTTTTTAAAAATGCTCTTGGGCTTCCCAGGTGGCACAGTGGTTAAGAATCTGCCTGCCAATTCAGGGGACACAGGTTCGAGCCCTGGTCCGGGAAGATCCCACATGCCATGGAGCAACTAAGCCTGTGCGCCACAACTACTGAGCCCACGTGCCACACCTACTGAAGCCCATGTGCCTAGAGTCTGTGCTCCGCAACAAGAGAAGCCACCACAATGAGAAGCCAGTGCACCGCAATGAAGAGTAGCTCCCACTCACCACGACTAGAGAAAGCCTGCACACAGCAAGCAACAAAGATCCAACGCAGCCCAAATTAATTAATTAATTAAAATAAATTTTAAAAAAATAAAATAAAATAAAAATGCTCTTTTATCTAAGTCAAATACTGCAAATTCATTTGTTTACATAAACTATTTCAAGTGTTTCCTACCAATACACACCATATAACTGATCTCCTTGGCTCTCAAAAATAATATTCTGAGTATTTGAAAGTAAATTTTCCTATAATATGATCATCTCAATAGATGCAGAAAAAGCAACTGACAAAATTCAACATCTATGATCAAAACTCTAAACAAAGTGGGTACAGAGGAAACATACCTCAACATAATAAAGGCCATACATGATAAGCCCAGAGCTAACATCATACTCCACAGTGAAAAAGTAAAAGCTTCTCTAAGATCAGGAATAAGACAATGGTGCCCACTCTTGCCTCTTTTATTCAACATAGTATTGGAAGTCCTAGCCAGGGCAGTTAGGCAAGAAAAGGAATAAAATTTAGCCATCCAAATGGGAAAGGAAAAAGTAAAACTGTCACTATTTGCAGATGACATGGTATTACTTATAGAAATCCCTGAAGACTCCACCAAAAAACTGTTAGAATAAATGAATTCAGTAAAGTTGCAGGATACAAAATCAACATACAGGAATCTTTTATGTTTCTATACACTAATAACAAACTATTAAAAGGGAAATTAAGAAAACAATCCTATTTATTATAATTGCAACAAAAAAGATAAAATTAGGAATAAATTTAACCAAGGAGGCAAAAGACCTGTACAGTGAAAACTATAAGACACTGATGAAAGAAACTGAAGAAGACACACATAAATGTTCATGCACTGGAAGAATTAATATTGCTAAAATGTCCATACTACCCAAAGCAAACTACAGGTTCAATGCAATTCTCATCAAAATTCCAACTGCATATTTCACAGAAATAGAACAATCCCAAAATTTGTATGGAATCACAAAAGATCCAGAATAGTCAAAGCAATCTTGAGAAAGAAGAACAAAGTTGGAGGCATCACACTCCCTGGTTTCAAACTACATTACAAAGCTATAGTAATCAAAACAGTATGGTATTGGCCTAAAACAGATGCAGAGATCAATGGAACACAATAGAGAGCCCAGATATAAATCCACACATATATGGTCAATTAATTTATGATAAAGGAGCCAAGAATACACAATGGGAAAGAACAGTCTCCTCAATAAATGGTGTTGGGAAAACTGGACAGCCACATGCAAAAGAATGAAACTAGACCACTATATACACCATACACAAAAATTAACTCAAAATGGATTAAAGACTTGATGATGTAAGACCTGAAACCATAAAATTCCTAGAAGAAAACACAGGCTGTAAGCTCCTTGACATTGGTCTTGGCAATGACTTTTTGGATTTAGCACCAAAAGCTAAGACAACAAAGGCAAAAATAAACAAGTGGGACTACATCAAACTAAAAAGCTGCTGTGCAGCAAAGAAAATCATCAACAAAATGCAGCCTACTGAATGGGAGAAAATATCTGCAAATCATGTAGCTGATAAGGGGTTAATATCCAAAATATATAAATTCATACAACTCCAGAGCAAAACAAACAAACAATCTAATTTAAAAATGGGCATTTTTCCGAAGAATACATACAGATGGCCAACAGGTACATAAAAGATGCTCAACATCACTAATCATCAGGGAAATGCAAATAAAAACCACAATGAGATCACCACCTCACACCTGTTAGAATGGCTATTATTAAAAAGTCAAGAAATAAATATTGAGGAGGATGTGGAGAAAAGGAAACCACTGTGTACTATAGGTGGGAATGTTAATTGGTGCAGCCACTATGGAAAACAGTATGAAGGATCATCAAAAAATTGAAAATAGAAGTACGATATGATTCAGGCATTCCACTTCGGGGTAACTATCCAAAGAAAACAAAAACAGTAATTTGAAAGGATATATGCACCCCCATGTTCACTGCAGCATTATTTACAATAGTCAAGGTAAGGAAATAAACTAAAGTGTCCATTTACAGATGAATGGATAAAGAAATTGTGGCATATATACACAAAGGAATATTATTCAGCCATAAAAAAGAATGAAATCTTGCCATCTGTGACAACATGAATGGAGCTTGAGGGCATTATGCTAAGTGAAAGAAGTCAGAGAAAGACAAATACTGTATGGTATCACTTATACGTGGAATCTAAAAAAGAAAAGGAAAAAAAAAAGGGACTTCCCTGGCAGTCCAGTGGTTAAGACTCCATGCTTCTACTGTAGGGGGCGTGGGTTCGATCCCCGGTCAGGGAGCTAAGTCCCCGCATGCCACGCAGCATGGCCAAAAATTAAAACAAAAACAAAACCGAAACCAGAAACCAAGCTCATAGATACAGAGAACAAACGGTTGCCAGAGACAGCGGGGGGAGTAAGCAAACTGGATGAAGGTGGTCAGAAGTTACAAACTTCCAGTTATAAACTAAGTAAGTCATGGGGATATAATGTACAGCATGGCAACGTCAGTTAATAATACTGTATTGCATATTTGAAAGTTGCTAAAAGAGTAAATCTTAAAAAGTTCTCAACACAAGAAGAAAAGAATTATGTAACTATGTATGGTGAGTGATGTTAAGTAGACTTATTGTGGTAATCATTTTGCAATATATACAAATATCGAAAAATTATGTTGTATGCTTGAAACTAATATAATGTTGTATGCTGACTATACCTGAATTTTAAAAAATTTTCCTAAAAAAAAAATAAATATATATATATATATATATATATATATACACACATATATATATATAAATATTGTTTTTTTTAAAGATCTTGCTTCTTGGGCTTCGCTGGTGGAGCACTGGTTAAGAATCCACCTGCCAATGTAGGGGACACGGGTTCGAGCCCTGGCCCGGGAAGATCCCACATGTCGCGGAGCAACTAAGCCCGGGCATCACAACTACTGAGCCTGCGCTCTAGAGCCCACGAGCCAGTACTACTGAGCCCATGTGCCACAACTACTGAAACCTGAGTGCCTAGAGCCTGTGCTCCACAACAAGAGAAGTCACTGCAGTAAGAAGCCCACGCACTGCAACAAAGAGTAGCCCCTGCTTACTGCAACTAGAGAAAGCCCGTGTGCAGCAATGAAGACCCAACGCAGCCAAAAATAAATAAATTAATCAATTATTTTTTAAAAAGATCTTGCTTCTCTAACATGAAAATCTATTTTATTTCTGGAAAAGAAAAATTATGAAGCAAGGGATAAAAGTAGTTTACAAAAAAAAAAAAACGAAAGAAAGAAAAAAAGCTATATAACTTTAGAAGTAAATTTTCTCCACAAGGTAGAAACACATGTGTATTAGTGCTAAGAAGGGTCAGGGGAGGAAATCTCTCTCCTGTTTTAGAGATTATACCAGAGAACTGAGAGAAGCATAGGATCATAAACACAGTAACGACTAGATAAAACGCAACCCATCCCCTGCCTCTCATTCCTTTCAGAAATAGGGGCATGAGACCCAATTAATGCAATGTTTCCCCAATGGATAAAACACTACACACCTTGTCCAGAGTCTAAGCTGGAGAAGGAGGTTCCTAAAAGCCAACGGCTTGGGGCTTCCCTGGTGGCGCAGTGGTTGAGAGTCCGCCTGCCAATGCAGGGGACACGGGTTCCTGCCCCGGTCCGGGAAGATCCCACATGCTGCGGAGCGGCTGGGCCCGTGAGCCATGGCCGCTGAGCCTGCGCATCCGGAGCCTGTGCTCCACAACGGGAGAGGCCACAACAGTGAGAGGCCCGCATACCACACACACACACAAAAAAAAGCCAACGGCTTGACCAACAACCATTTCCTTCCTATTATGAGCAGCAACCATTTAAGATGACTTTAGGAAGAAAAGAATATGGCCCACTGTGTTAAATCTACTACCTTCTACATATATCACAAAATGGAGACTCAAATCTCCTATAAGTCTTCCTGAGTTTAGACTCTGGCATAAGAAAAATGGACAGTGAATATATGAATGGTTTTTTCTATACCTGGAGTCAACCTATCAGATAGTTTTGCTAGTACCAAACAACACCCAGGCAAAATAGAAGGTAGGCAAAAATAATGTTCTCTCCTCCCTTTCACCAACTTCTTTCCTTTCTTTCCCCAGCAACCCAATCCTCAAGCCCCCAAATTCCAAACCTGTTACTTCCTACTAAATTATTCGTAATGTTGAGTCACTAAACTCTCACTTCCAAAATGAAGGTGTTAATACTTATGAGACTATTATGAGGATCAAAATAATAACTCATAAAAGCATTTTACAGCTAAAGAGTGGTAATTAGGAAAAGGCGTTAAGCATTTTAATGGAAAACTTATGCAAGCAGAAACAGTTCCAAAACTGATGTTTCCATCACAGGAAGGCATCCCAAATGAAGATCTAAAATCTTTGGGATTTGGAGAAGGTTGCCCACAGTAAACTAAAGGCTTCCCAGCTTCCCTGAATTACTGTATATAATTTACCAAGCTAAGACTATTCCAAGGTCCACCAGATGGTGCCATCTCTCCTATTTTAAAGTGGCAAATCTAAATGAATTCAGTCATTTCTAACCAAAACTAACTGAATAATCTTCAGAAGCAAAGGGCAAACGATCAGAGAGGAAAACACAATAGTCCAAAGCTATTTACCTCATAGTTACTGAGCAGCGCAGCGCTGGCATCCTTCCTGCAAAATAAAGTAAATTATCATCAGTCTGGGCTCACATCCCTCTGTGGGAATTAAATATCTACAAAATAATCCCTCTGTCAAGATTCAGTAGCACAGTTCAGAAATTTGGGGACTACAACCTAAAATTGAGAAACGTCCTAAGTCTTACTGGTTTAGCTGGCGATGGACAAATTCAGAGCAAATTCTCCTTTTAACAGCCACAGTATATCACACATCCAACACCAAGTAGGTGATTAAAATACTATACTTATCCCTGGTCCAAGCAGGCAAAAGTTGAGAAGTCAGATATCTAGGGGAAGTTAGTTACAGGAAGAACACGGGGGCAAAACCACAGGAGTAGGGGGATGTCAATAAACAGAGGGTGCTAGAATTAACTGGAGAAACAGAGTGCCACCTCATCCCACAGCCATGTCCTCTCTACAGTACCATCTGCCTTCCATCAGCTATTGACATTTTGGGCAGCCAAGTCCTCCTGTTGAATCACCAGAAATGGGATCCTTAACACTAACATCACTACTGGAAATTCCAGCAACATCTGGAATCCTGCCAGATACCCACAAAACTCCCAAGGTGTTCATCTTTTCTATCAACTCAACCACTAGAGTTCACATGTTGAGCACTGGCAATGGTCAATCAAGGCAAAACGTCACCTTTCATGTATGAATGAGCACAGCAATGTGACGTGTATTAAATTACAACTGATCCATTCTACAGTATCACATCAGAAAGCACTTATTGTTTTTAACAGTCTGGAGGCAGTACAGTATAATAATTAAGAACACAGTTTTGACCTACTGTATAGTGTACAGCACAGGGAACTACAGTCAATATCTTGTAATAATCTATAATGGAAAAGAACCTGAAAAAGAATACATATATACATAATATATATATGTACAGCTGAATCACTTTGCTGTATACCTGAAACACTGTAAATCAACTATACTACAATTTTAAAAGAATACAGTTTTGAAATCAGACAAATCTAGGTTCATATTCCAGCTCCGCCACTTACAAGGTATGTGAGTTTCAGTGAGTTAATTAACCCCCATTAAGCATCCCCATATAAAATTAAAAAATGCAGATAACTAGTACCTAGAAATGTAGCCTGGATTCTAAACCCAGCTCCACCAACCAGTAGCTATGTGAATTTGGGCAAGTTATTTAACCTCTCTATGCTTAAATTTCCTCATCTATAAAATGGCAACTGTAGTATCAACCTTGTAACATTGTTACAGGATTGAGTTGAAACATGTAAAGTACCTGGAACACAGTATGTGCTCAATAAATACCATCTATTGTCACTACTGCCTGGGCTACCACCACCACAACCACCGCTTCTTCCTACTTCATAAAGCCGTTCTGAGGATGAAAGGAAAACAAATTTTAAAAGTGTAACACAGTTCTTGGTACTTATTAGGTTCTCCTAAACGAAGGCTATTACTGTTAAAAGATATCACCTCACTTAAATTCTCATTAAAAACCCTGTGATGTAGGAGCTATTATGATTCCTTCTTTATAGATGATGAAACTGAGGCTCAGAGATTTAAAAACTTGCTCAAGGGCACACAGTAGAAAGTCTAACTGAAGTGGACAATAACTATGGGATTGTGAAAAATAAAACAGGATTGAACAAATGGAAACCAGTAATGCAGAATCCTAAAACTTCAGGAAGGAGTATGGACTTGACATAATGTACAACAAAGATTACTGTTTGTTCTTAAACTAGGAATGGGGCTATATGATGAAATTGAGGACACAAAATTTCAAAAACATGAGCCAAATAGATGGGTGGTTTCCCCAGTCAATAATAAAGCAAAACAAGCAGGTGGTTAACGCAGGCTTCAACCTAGGCCTTAGGTCATCAGCACAGTAATGTCAGCACTTAATCAAATCAGCACATGAAGCTTACCAAATGCTACTGGTCATTCAACAAATAGCCAGGATTTCACAAAAGTGCTGCTTTGCCCAAATGACCACAATGGAACTCAGGTCACAAAGAACACCATACTTAAAAGGAACCTAGGAGACTTCCCTGGTGTCACAGTGGTTAAGAATCTGCCTGCCAATTCAGGGGACACGGGTTCGAGCCCTGGTCTGGGAAGATCCCACATGCCGCAGAGCAACTAAGCCTGTGCACCACAACTACTGAGCCTGCGTTCTACGGCCGGTGAGCCACAACTACTGAGCCAGGGTGCCACAACTACTGAAGGCTGCGCATCTAGAGCCCGTGCTCCGCAACAAGGGAAGCCACCGCAATGAGAAGCCCACGCACTGCAATAAAGAGTAGCCACCACTCGCCGCAACTAGAGAAAGCCTGCGTGCAGCAACAAAGACCCAACGCAGTCAGAAATAAATAAATTAAAATTTTTAAATAAATAAATAAATGGAACCTAACACAGGAAGGATAACGCATAATTAGAGTATGTGATATGGCTCATTTAAAGCTGAAAATGACAGGACTTCCCTGGTGGCACAGTGGTTAAGAATCCGCCTGCCAATGCAGGGGACACAGGTTCAAGCCCTGGTCCAGGAAGATCCCACATGCCACAGAGCAACTAAGCCCGTGCTCCACAACAAGAGAAGCCACCACAATGAGAAGCTAATGCACTGCAACAAAGAGTAGCCCCCGCTCGCCTCAACTACAGAAAACCTGCGCACAGCAATGAAGACCCAACACAGCCATAAATAAATAAATAAATAAAATTGAAAATGACAAATCAAACCACATGTCATCTTTGCCTACTTAATCAGGAAGTCACCCCACAAGGCCTCCTCCTATCTTTGCTTGAAACTGAATTACAACTCCCTTCATGCCCTAACATTCAGGGGAACTAAAACATCCCTTCCTGGAACAGGGTGAGAAAAATTACATGTTATTTTTCCTCAAGGCCAGTGGATCCATCCCAGGTGCCACAGTGACAACTTCATTTCCAAATCACAGCCCCCCTCTGTCATGTACATTATTCCATGCCCTGGGAAATCTGTCCTTGTCTCTTCCAAATTACTGCCCCACTGCCCAAGTCAATATTGTTAATTGCAAGAATCCAAAGAACATCTTCTGCCTTTTCTAGAGCCAATATACAAAGAAGGAAAGGAACTCTCTTTCATGTATATTTTCATGAACCTGTGTTTTGGAGCCAGGAGAACAATGGATGTTTAAAAAGTACAGCGTCTTGCATTCTGGTGGGCAGAAGCTGATTTATTCATTGATTCTTTTATTAGGAAGATAAATAATTTTTTTACCCAGCTAAATACTAATGGAGTAAATGCCAAAATATGCTAGGCATTCCTTTATTCAGTTAAATGTCAACGAGTATAGTATCTGCCTTTCATTGAGTCCTAAATGAACTGTGTGTATTGGGAAATTTTTTTTGAAGGCAGTTTTTATCCTGAAGAACTTACTGTAACCACCACAAAGCGGCAGGTTGTTGAGAACAGGATATGGTGAGATTTGACAGACATCAACTTAATCAAGTTATCCAATTTAACAGCACCAATAATGATGAGGTGATGCACTGAGAAGGAAACATCCCTTATAGCAATCCTGTCAGAAAATGTAGTTATGAGAATATAATCAGACAAACCCAACCTAAGAAACCTTCTTCAAATCAACTGGCCTAGATTCTTCAAATATCACTATCATTTGTCACGATGTCAACGTCACAAAAAGAGGCTAAGAAACTGTTCTCAGAGTAAAGGAGATTAAAGAACCTTGACAACTAAATGCAATGTGTGATTCTTGATTGGATCCTGAATCAATTTTTTTTAAAAATCCAGATAAAACATTATTAGGACAATTGGAGAAATTTTAATATAGGTTGCATTTTAATAATAGTGGTAATATCAGCACTAAATTCCCTGGGTGTGATGATGGTATTGCAGTTACACAGGAGAATGTCTTTTTAAGACGGATAAAATGACATCTCTACAACTCTGAACTGGTTCAGTAAAGAGTGTGTGTGGAGAGAGAATGTAGGCATGTGTAACAAAGAGAAGGCAGATATATCAAAAATGTTAACAAATGGTGACTCCAGGTAAAGGATATAAAGGAACTTGAGATGCTCTTTTTGCAACTGTTCCATGGGTTTGAAATTTTTCAAGGTAAAAAGTTGAGAAAAATGGAGAAGTAAAACTAAAGAATTCCATGAAGTTAAAAAAAAATACATTAGTATAACTTGTAATTGAGGACATTCTCCTCCAATGTTTACTTCATACTCTCCTGTAGGACTTAGAATGGTACTGATTTTACTTACAGATGTTTAAAGCAAATATTCCAAGTGAATTTTAAAGACTGTCTGAATCTATACTTACAGGAAGGCAGTCACTTAATTTCCTTAATTCATGAATTAGCTGACTGAAGCTGACGTACTATTTGAAATTTAACCTGTAAAATCTGCTTAACTTGCTGAGTCAATTTAATGGACACAAACAACTACTTCAGAAAATCAAATTCTGAATAAACAGAACAAAATGATCTACTGACAGACTTTCCTTAGAGACTCACACATGCACAAAAATGTCCAAGCAAACAGTGCCTATTAACTGCCACACGGTTAACTCTTACGAACACAGTGACAAACAGAATTGCTCAAATTCTCCTATGTTTAACCTATGTTACTGACTCAAGTCCTGTTCTGAAAAGCTAAACTCTGGTCCAAGAAAACTGAGCAGCCTTCAAAGTCAATGAACAATTTAAACTGTAGCATTCACTTGGGAGCTAGCAAATTATCCTCTTTCCAGTCCTGTTACTGAATTGCTCTAAGACCTATTAGCTAACTTCTCTAAACCTCAGTATTTCCAGCTGTAAAAAGAAGGAAATTCTGACACTATCTCAAAAAGATGATGTGGAAGAAACTCCATTTTCCGTAACTATGTATACTAAGTTCAAGAATAAAAGGATGAACACAAAATTTTCCAGGCATATAAATAGTCCCAAGGCATTAGAGAAAGTTAGCCAAACAGCAAATACCTTAGTATACAAATACTTAATTTTG